CAAAGAGACGGATTGGAGGAGGAGATGGAATCAGACGCTAGTGAACCTTTAGATCTAAGTGATTCTGAAAATGTTCCAAGGGGGTTGAAGCGTAAGCTTGATTGAATTTGCGTGACCTCGTATAACACTGTGTTGTGATGTGACAGAATAATGATAATGATCGATTTGAATTTGATTTTGATTTCAAAGGCAATCTGCAGAATTAGATGGTTTTGGAGATATTTTACTCTCATCCATGTATTATTTGGCCTAAGATATTATGAACTAAGATTTTATGCTATCATACAACTATCATTAATTGATCTTATCGTATGAAAAGTCTTTGGTTGAAGTTGTAATATATTTTAGAGCTGCGACGAAAAGGATTCCCCTGTGCTGTACTTGAATTACAAATTCAACAAAAGAAACCCTCCTGTCAATCCTAGGTCATCGTAGAAGTACCCATAAAAATATAAAACTGTGCCACAAAGCTCTAGACTTTAGGTAAAATATCGGAAGAGTCCGTAAGCCCTGTGTCTAAATATATATCATCAGTAAGAACAGCAAATAATGAGGAAGAAAACCTTTTCACAATCAAGGTTTGTAGATTGTTCTCATTGATGCGCACATCAGGTGCATCAATTGCCATCTTTGAAGAAACCGCTCGGTATGATAGACGCTTATCAATTCTGGACTTTTCACTTTTAGAAGATATGCGATTCTTCTGTTCCCTTCCTGGTAATGGTTTGATAGAAAATTTTGACGTATGTGCTTTATAATTAGCAGTGTTCTGGGAGCTCGATAGGGTGCTCGTTTGGTAATGAGCCGTTCTTTGCTTTTTGTCATATGAACTAGCACATAATTGAACATACCTGTTCATATCTCCCACATCTTCGAAACTGATTTTGGAACCAAACGATTTTGAATTTATATTTTGTAGTCTAGATGAGCTCACTGGGTTAAATTTGATAATTGTGTCATGCGGTGAATTATTCTTCAGCTTTTGATTAAGAGTACCATTTGTTTTTGTCTTTGGTGAGAAGGTATATTCAGGATGGTAAATGCTGTGCCACTGTTCTTCAATAAACGATAGATAATTGAAATATCTCTGAAACTCACAAGTACTATTCTTCCAAACCTATACAAGTTGTTAGTTTTCTTATAATGAAATATCCAACCATTAAAACTTACCCATGATATGATTCTTGAGGTATCGTCATTGGTGAGTTCTGTAGATTGCGCTTTCACAACTTTACTTAATATGGTTCTAGCAAGAATAAACTTATTCCTCGGTCTCTTGATAGTATTATGTTGCTGTCTTGTGTCTCTTGTGTAGAACATTTTTACTCCTTTGGTATGCTTATTCTTCGGCTTGAGAGCTATTGGAAACTCCCGATTACTCAGAAAAGCAAGATCTTTCTTGTTCACCTCCTTTTTTGAACGATTTAACTGAACCCTTAGAGTTGAAACAATCATTGGTAAGTCTTGATCAAAGAAAAACCCATTCTCTACCGATGACCAACCACTCATTAGTTCTAAAGATATCGTTGTAGTATCAGATATGATTTCATTGAACATAGTGAATCTTCAAAGAATTACTAGAACAACTGGGGGTTTTAAAACTCCAAAGTTTAAGTTTCAGAATAAGGAAAGAGTGCTCAAATATAGAATCATATTCTCCAATTTGAAGTCTTAGTCCAAGCTTTTATAGAGGTAATGTTGAGTTTTTGAGGCTACAACTGCAACACACTCATGGCTCCCATGATGAGTCCTGCATATAGAAGTTCGCTGTACATTGTAGCCGCGGCAACAAACGTGAAAAATCGTCCTCATGCACTGCTGAAGGTAAAAGAATTGTCCATTCACACTAACCAATACTGTATAAAGATATAACTTGAAGGTTCATGTCTCTAGTACACTCCGAGGTTTGTCCTTGCGCACAAGAGCCCGAACATCCGGTCATTTTGATGACGGCTGTGTCAGTAATCTGAATCCCAATACTAGAACTGGGTTAATCGGTTGATTTTTTGGGTAGTCGTAATTTAGTTCTGTCAAACCTCCGATGTGTGACTATTAGTTAGTAGTTACAAATAAGCGTGCATGAATCAATTTTTACGACTTAATTCGAAGGGAAACTTTGAAACACCAGAAACGTAACTTCCGTCATATCTAATCACATTCCATGTTAAATAAACACTGGCGAACATCTCTAACTCGAGTATATTAGATTTTGATATAACAGTATGTCGACGAAGGACGTTTCTAATTATCAAGAAGCAATTGAAAAGCTGGAGTCTATCGTTGAATTTTCCTCTTTCTTCACGAATAGTCATCCGAAACCAATTTATGATAAAGTACTCCTGAATGATCCGTTCGACAAGTCAACGTTGATGAAAAGGGCCCCAACATCTTGTCAAGACCATCTTAATGATTTGATAAACACCTTTGAAGAGTCTTTGAAGAGGGTTTTGGTAAGTATTTTTGCCTGCTTCATCAATTCTATATTTCGCTAACCCCTATTAGGATGAACAGATTCTTCCACCAGAGACTGTAATAGGTCAGTATATCACTAGACTCAATAGAGTCATTGAATTGGCATCTCAGTACGAGTCCATAACTGGAGCTGACCCAGAAAGGTATGGGTATAGTATTACGCCATACTCTGTGAGAACTGCTTCAGTGAAGGTCACATTAGGTAAGCGATCACCAACTTCCTCAGATCTTGAAGATAATGGATCTCAATCCAAATTGAGATCAAAGAAACGTACACCAATTTCCAAGGAAGCTAAGCAATTATTGGAAACAATCTTTGAAACCAAGCGTACACCTAATGGGAAAGAACGAAAAATCATCGCAGAAAAATGTGGACTAACACCCCTTCAAGTACGCGTATGGTTCACAAACAAACGAATGCGCTCAAAGTAATTGCCCCAGACATACAACTATTGAAATCTACAATACCGTTGATAGCATTCAACATCTAATATATTCAACTTTAGCTTACTCTTCATCGCTATCACCTTCTCTGTAACCATACTTTCTAATCTCTCCCAATCTCTTTCTAGCAGCATTCAATGCATTTTCCAATTTTAGAAT